AGTAAGATTTCAAACATTGGGTAAATGTATTAAAAATGTTAACAATGAAAATTTTTAAATTTAATAGAAATTAATAATGTAATTTCTTTGGACAGATAAAATTCCATGCATTTTCGCCCCTAAAAGACTGCTTCGTTTTTATCTTCTTTCATAGCAGTTTATTGATCAGTATAACTTGAGCAATAAAAAAATTTACTAATGAAAACTACTTTCGTATTTTGACTGGTCGGTAGTCTTATATTAAAAAGCAAAAGCTACAAACTTTTTATACTTTCCAAATGAATTATAAAAATTTTTATATCTTTTTATTTTCAAGTTACAAAAATCAATACAAAAGAACTGAAAAGCCAATGGAGGTTTAATCAAACAAATTCTAAACCTACAAGTAATTGCGAAAACTTACTAAGAGTGAATATAAAATGGAAAATCTATGTAGAAAATGTAGTTGGAAAAATAAATTAAGTAACATACGTGTATGAATAGAAAAATAAGAAAATGAAACTAAATATTTTTCAACTAAATTGGAAAAAGTTTGTAAACATATTTGGAAAAAGTTTTAATGAAATTTCTACTAATTTGCAGTTGAACAAACAACAAAAGCAGCTAAAATAGTATTTTTTACAACTCATTAAATTACTGAAGCACAAATTTTTATGTTTGCATTTCGATTTCGAACAAGCACAGCACTAAGTTTAATAACTATTATATTAATTAAAAAAATTATGTGATTTTAACTGAAATTATGATAATCAATTAGAGTGCTTTTATTTAAATTTGGTTTACATATTATGTTAAATTAATCAAGAAAATGCATACAATTATGAATTGATTTTAAAATATGTCACTCATACGCCACCAAAAAAAATTCATTATATTAATGCATTATGAATGTGTAGTTTTTATTCACAAGTTATTTCTTTTTCATATTTAAAAAGTACTGTAATAACATTAGTTTTATTTACGAATTTTTATTTAATTTCATTTTAGCATATAAAAAATATATTACTTAAATTTTTTTATAGTTTATTTTAACGGATTATCAGCGGATTATTGTGTTTATTTCATATTCATAATATTTTTGAACTTTTTTCTTTTAATTTATTGCTTATATTGGCGAACATAAAAGGATTACAGATTTTTTATATAATTTCTAAAAATACAACTCTATTAAAACTACAAATATAGGTTTAAAAAATAAAATTAAAACAACGCTTTTTATCTCAAAAAATATTTCATATTATATTACATACTTGATTATTTAATTAAGTCGTCAAATTTAAAATAAAACTAATTTAATCGTTATTTGAAAGCTTGTGTAAAGTTTGAAGTAATAAAATTGTTCATAATAACTATTATAACATCTCTGATATTGAAATCAATAAGTTTTAAAACATTGGACTTTTTTATTCAAAATAACTAAATATGTATTTAGAATAACAGTATTTTCATTAAAAATGTTTAAATAAGCATTTATAATATGCTTACGACACAATAACCTTAACGCTAAGAATAAAAAATTGATCTACAGCCAGATAATCAGACCGCTACTTCTTTGCTGGTGTGTCGCGTATAACAAAGCTGCCAACTGTACTATCCAAAAGCTACAAATTGCTTAAAATCAGACTCTCCGAAGACTCTTCAAAGTAACATGGTACATTCACACGAATGACATGCTAAGAGACCTCAGAATAGACCTGGTCAAAAAATACATAAGGGACAGAGCCCTGAAGCTATACGCGCACACTGACAGGCTGCACTACATAGCACTATATAATCTCAGAGCTGTCACTAGCAGTACGAGACGACATGCAGAACTTAGATCAGTCATTGAAGCTTATAAGGAATACATATATTTGTCAAAGAGAAGTGAGGAGCTCTGTAGAAACCCCTCAGCTAACAAAAAGTAAAAGTGTTTAGTTGCACTAACTCGTAAAAATCTTAACATAAGACAAATGATTAACAATATCTAAATTGAAACGAATAAAGTAGTGAAGCTAATTAAGTTATTTTTAAACTCAATTGAAACTTAAAGGTTTTATAGTATTCTAATCATGATATTTTTTTCCTAACTTGGGTCCCGACATACTTTTCAGTTCATTTATTTTGTGTCTTAATCCTTTTAAATATCTTAACAAAAATATATAACGATTATTCAGCTTCAAACAACATGTTGTATGCAATTCAATTTTATTACAAATAAAACCATTTCAAAAAAGTTAAATTTAAGTATATAAATTGTTATCTTTTAAGCTTACCTGGATTATGTTCCCTCAAAATCTGCTTAAACACACCATTAGAAAAAGTTAAGTAAAGTTAAATAAATTAGTGAAAACAAAAGTAAGATAGAATAATAAAAAAGAATTAAAAATTTTTTTATATATTTTTTTTTCATACAGTAATATACCTTAGTGGCCTTAAAGCCCAAACTTAAATTCGCTTCAACTCCTGCCGGGAAACTGTTGAAAAACACTGCGAAAAAGGCAGGTAGCAGCAAAAGCATTTTCTGCAAATAGAAGAAATCCATTGAAATGCGTGTGAGTAGACATATCAAATCTAAAAAGTTCTTGTTGAAATATTATAGTAAAAAGGGTCAATCCATATAGTGTACACATACATATATACATACAATATATATAAAATAATAATATATCCTGAAACTGTATTTCACATGAATTATGCACGCAAGGTAAATTAAGGTCATTTGAATGTCTGCACCTTGAGTTTACTGCTTGGCGGTCGTGTTTTACATCCCTGGCTGCTTATTTAATGTTATCACTTTATTATTATAAAATGGTATGGCAACAGTCCCCACTGACCCAACAAGTAAAAAGTAAATACATTAAATAAAATAAATAAAAAATCGAAGAAAGAACAACATTTTTAGTAGGCTGTTGTTGGTTCTATTGGCCATTTTCGTATGTGTCGAGATTCCCTTAGCCATTTTATTTGCCACTGAGCACTCTTTTATTTTAAAAGTGGTACATTGCACGCTTTTTTAAAAAAGCACAAAATAAAAATGAATGCAAAGCAATACGAATGTAAAATAAAATGAAGAAAATAAATATAAAAGCAAATAGAAAAAAAACGACCTAACGAAATGGTCGACT